ATCTTTATTTTGCATTTTTCTGTCCACCATGGGACGGGGTTGAATCTCGAATTCTTGTTTTTATTTCTTTTGGGTACAGTGTGTAATTCATTTAAGATATTATTTAGAGATTCCATGAAGTTTCCGTAAAAGGTCTTGACATCTGCGTCTAGCAGCGAGTCAGTGTCCATTCGTTGATCGCACAGTTTATTGAATTCATGCCAATCTATCTTCGTGAATGACCGTTTTAGAGTTAGGTCATCTTTCGTACAATCTGATTTAGGATTTTTTTTTTTTTATTTCAATATATATTGGAAAATGGTCACTTCCGAATTTGTTTGACAGCACTTTCCAGCTAATGGAGCTGGCTAAAGCGGGAGTTGCTAATGATAAGTCTAAACATGAGGTTTCGCCAGTAGTTGGGTTTAGGCGAGTACCCGAGCCACCATTTAGGAAGACTAAATTGTGTTTCAGTAAATATTCCTCAATAACTTTTCCATTTTTATCTCTATTTTTACTGCCCCATTGAACATTATGAGAGTTAAAGTCTCCCAATATTAACATTCTACGTTTGTTCTTTATTTGCTTTATCAAGAAATCTAGTTTATTCATAATTATGTCTTCACATGGATTATAGTAACTTATCCGGTTATGGATGTGTTGTCAAAATATAAAATAATCTGTTGCATTTCAATGTCAGTTTCTATGATTGGGTAATCATAATTTAAACTATCTAAATTTTAACTTAAGCTTTCTTAATTAAAGACAACACCTCTCCTTCTGACTTATCTTTCATAATTTGGATCATTAGGTGAAGAAAAAAGGTTATCAATTCCTCATTTGCTTTAGTTATAAAATTTTCCTTGATTTGTGAAGATAGTCGCCCTGTCTTTTCGCTTGTTTGTCTATCTTGGCGTTGTGGCAAGGGAGGATCTGCCTTTGGGGTGTGATCCGGAAACGAATGAGAGTTATCGACTTTGGGGGTGGGGTGGTTTTGCTTTACTGTATTTAGACCTAGATCAACAGATGATTGAGGATTATTTGCGGTGTTTAGATGTTGTTGGGGAGGAGCTAGTTTACACTCCAATGGTATTGGAGCTTGCATATTATCTTTTTCTTCTTTCAATTGGCGAGCAGCTTGAGCATAGCTGAGATTATTCAGCACTTTTATCTTTTGTACTTCTTGCGCTTTTTGTCTTTGTTCGCATCCATTATATGCAGCGGAATGTTCGCCTCCACAATTTACACATTTGGGAGTGTCCTTTTTTATGCAATCGTCGAAACTATGCTCCTCTCCACATAAGTTCTGTTTGCAAACGGCTATGGTGTGGCCATATCTTTGGCATTTAAAGTTCTGGTAAAAAAAGAAAATGAATTCTCACAGAATCTAACGAAACTTATACTGAATGTTCAAGATTACAAATAAATGTCATGTGCCAAACAATTTGGGAAGAAAATGTATACTGGCTGAGTAATGAGCATAGAAAGATAAGGAAATCAGGGTAGTACTAGCCCCGACACCATGTGTGTTGTCCCATATACATCTTTCTGTGTAAGTGATTGTTACTTTACCAAGACTCTGCCAAATTTATGATGATTTTGATGACTCCAGAACCTTGCATTACACACCATTACTTACATGCTATATGATCAACTTTTCTGACCCATTCCACACCTTTTCTTTCACGATGCAATCGCATTACCAGAACTCAAGTTTATCTTTAAAACACCTGGGGCTTGAAGGTAATATAGGGTTTGACCTTTATTTTTTGGAAACAAAGAATGATGTCTTGGGGAAGTACTGTAGCTTCAAATGAAACAATTGCACTCCGAGTTGGAACTAAATATACAAGTACATTCCCATCTTGAGGTTCTTCCCTCTTTCCTTTTTCCTTACTATTCTTTTCATGTTAACTACCTTTTGACTCTTCAGTTCTGTTTCTATTTCTTTTTCTGACATCTCGGTCGGTATATCTGATATGACACCTTTCTTCAAATCAAGTTTCAAATTGACCTTACACTGGTACGTTATCAATGATTTGTATATCAGACAATTTCTTAGGCCAAAAAAAAAAATCATTTGGTTGTTCCCGACCGCCCGCTCGTCATTTTCGGGCCGCCCGTCATTTTCGGGCCGCTTGCATTTTTTTTTTTTAATATATTTTTTAATTCAATTTTTTTTATTTATTTTTTTTATTTTTTTTATTTAATTGTTTTGGGGGAGCAATCTTAAATGCCAAACACACCATTTTATGCATTTGCAAGGATCAAAATGCGTCCCGTTGCCAGTTTTGTCTTTTCAGTACGCAATTAGGTATTTATTAAACTGCCATTTTCATTTTTCTATGTCAAAATGCTGTTCATTCAAATCAGGTTCTGAGCATTCTTAAACTCATTTAAAAGCCCATCTGTACTAGTTTACAGGAGGGATTAGACCACCCTTCAAGGTCACTGGACAGGTGGTTATCTCATCAAATCAGCTCTCAGTTAATATAAGATAAAGAGGATCATGAGGGACCGAAGAGGCATTGTTTGCTACATAGAGGGCGCAAGTAGCTATAAGTAGTACAATGGAGATTTAAAAGGTGCTGTATTTCAAAGCCCAAAATACTTTCTGTGTTGGTCTTGATATTCATTGTACATTAAACTAGTCTTTTACCATATTAAAGTGTTTTATAGACTGTGTTTGTTTAAATGCTTGACAATCCCAATGATTTTTTTTTTTATGGAAAAAAAAAAAAAAAAAAAAAAAGACACACAAAAAATGAAGTTAACAAAATAAAATTAAAAAAAAACAGAAAAAAAATCCGCCCGCCCGCCCCTACTCCAGAAAAGCAATCGAGGACAATCAAACAATTTTTTTTTTTTGGCCTTATGTTGTTTCGTATCCTTGCATTTGACGAGGATTCTGTTCCGGGTAGGCTTTATAAATTCTGGGGATGAGCCGATACAGTTTTGGATAGATTTTGCGATCTTTATCATGCTACTGTTTCTTAAGGATTTTCCCTGTCAATAGGGGTAATGAAAAGCTTTAGATCTTGGTCAGTTGCTATTAGTATTACTGGATTTTGGTTACGAAATCCTGAGTTTTGTGATTCCATGTTATCTGAGGACGAATCCTCTTTTAGTGATAGGTTCTCAACATTGATACTTCCTTCACGTACCTTTCTTTTTTTCCTTCGAACACTTGCAGACGTGACTGTCTGGAATCCGTCCTTTAGTTCTGTTCCTTAATCTTTGGCTTTGTTGCCTGAATTAATATCTGCCATAGCGTTGAAAGTAAGGAGTCGTCGGAGTTCATGGTCCGCGCCGCGTGCAGCGGGAGATTTAAATCTACTTTGATTTGTGAAGTTATTTATGGTGCAGAATTATGTGTAAAATGAGCCCAAAATATGTTCGCTTACCTTTAGCAACTCATTTCCTATCCGAAACCAGAGTCGAAAGTATGGAAAGTCCTGTGAAAATCCGATAAATATCCAAAAATTTGCAACAAGCAACAGACAGACAGCCACGTGCACCAACCTAGCAGCACCGACCGAGTAGTCTATGCTAAGTATTCGCGCAAGCCTGGTATTCCCAGGCGTTTGGTGTATTTTCGATTAATTTTACTGTTGCGTGTACCTTGCTTTATCAGGTGGGCTGTATATAATACTGACTACCTTACGTTTTCATTAAAAAATTATTCTTATTTCTAACCCCTTTTTTGTGTGCATGATAACTTGAAAATGGCTCAATCAAATGCCTTGAAATTTGGCACACATATATGTACAGTGTATAGGCATATGGAAAGAGCACAACCTTGACCTTGACTGATAACGTAATCTAGGCGCCATGGAAATCAACTCATGATCATATCTTCATAACAGAAAGATTTTTCTCATTCATATTTATCATGATCAAGGTCAATATCAGTCCGGTCAATTTCAGGTTCCAAAACACGCACGTACGCCATTATCATCAATAGCATTTAATACAAAATTGCGCGTGTTTTCGTTTGTCACGGCCGAACGCTAAATAATTCCTTTTAGATTTTTTTTAACACGATATTCCTCATTTTTGTCTCGCCTGCGTGGCAAAAAGCGAGACATAGGCGCCGCTTTTCCGGTGACGGCGACGGCGGCGTCAACACATACCTACATATATGCACTGATGATGTAAAACAAACTCCAATGAAATTCTTACTCGTTACTCATTGAGAAATTTTAGATACAGAGCAAACAAGGAAACATAAAGAAATTTCTAGTGACTGTCAAGGGAATTGTTGATGTTTCTCTTGAGTCACCAGACGTGAAAGTACAGCGATCTCTATTAAAAAAGAACTGTTTTAGGATACGTTTAGACTGACATATTTCATTGAGATGGTAGCGAATCCACTCTTGGCGCTAAGGTGTATTAAGACACATACCATGTATATGTCATCTCGCATCCATTATCACATTGGTTTCAGCAGAAATTGAAAAATCACTTGTTTTCTGATCTTTTTCATCGGTCAGGTGCCCATTAATATTAATGAGTTAATGATATTTTTCAAGTAATTAGTTTCTTTCATAGGCCACGACTTTGGAAAAGATTCAAACATTAAAAGAGATTTTCAGTCCCTTTTACTTCGATAGATTTATTTATTAATAGTTTTACAAATGAAGTAACTCTTTCCTTCATTGTCATTAATCTAATTTAAGTGCACAGTTTTGACTAGATCGACCTGTTATCTGTGAAATAAATATAAATGGTGACACGACATTTGCTCCTGCGACAATTGCTCCGGGCTTTATTTCGTCTAAGATGTAGGGTTAGGGTTAGGGTTTCAATAGGGTTTTATGTTAGGTTTAGGGTTAGGTTTAGGGTAGGGTATAGTGTTGAATCCAGGGTTGAAGTTAGCCATTCGATTAGTGTATGAAATTTACAGCGGAGCAATTGTCGCCGGAGCAAATGTCATGGAATCATATAAATATGTGAACATGGAGATTAGTTTTATCATTGTTTTAATACGACTCCTTGTCTTTTGAACTCGATTTTCGCAGATATCGACGATTGTACTACCGATTCTTGCGCAAGTACAGGAACTTGTATTGATGGAGTGAACACCTTTAGTGCGAGCGAATGTGATGTTGGCTACGAAGGGACTACCTGTGAAACAAGTAAGCTTTAAATTCTAAACAGATTACATACCTACATGTATGCACTGATGATGTAAAACAAAATCCAATGAAATTCTTACTCGTTGCTCATCGAGAAATTTTAGATACAGAGCAAACAAGGAAACATAAAGAAAGAAATTTCTAGTGACTGTCAAGGGAATTGTTGATGTTTCTCTTACTTGAGAGTCACCAGACGTGAAAGTACAGCGATCTCTATTAATAAAGAACTGTTTTAGGATACGTTTAGACTGACATATTTCATTGAGATGGTAGCGAATCCACTCTTGGCGCTACGGTGTATTGAGACGCATATCTTGTATATGTAATCTTGTATCCATTATCACATTGGTTTCCGCGGAAATTGAAAAATCACTTGCTTTCTGATCTTTTTCATCGGTCAGGTGCCCATTAATATTGATGAGTTAATGATATTTTTTCAAGAAATTAGTTTCTTTTAAGGCTGCGATGGGTAGTCGATTGCTCGAGTACCCGCACGGTTGACAACTACTCGGGTACGATATCTTGTATCCGAATATTCAGCCGCAAAAAAAAAAAAAATTGAAATTTTAAAAATGTCCAGGCCCACGCTTACCCGTGCCAGGGAGAGCGGCGTCCGCTGGCATGGTACCGTCGGTAAAAATGTTTTCCAACTCAAGCACTGTCAAACTCACCTTTCAGAAACTGGGACCAAATGTCCAGATTTCTGTTTGGACTTGAAGGAAAATGGATTTTTCTGCCATCTTTGGTTTTTAAAACAGCATTGTTTACTGTTATTATTCTTATTAAATCGGCGCCTTCACCTGCACCTCAAAGTAAAGTTGCATGCGTTTTCAGCGAGGGACCTGAGAAACTGCCGAGTGGTATGGTAGTGGCAAAAAAAGAAAAAAAAGGGAAAAAATCCAAAAATCCAAAAATCCAAAAAAAATCCAAAAAATTCAAAAAAATTCAAAAAAATTCAAAAAAATTCAAAAAAATTATAAAAAAACATGGCGTCCGAATATTCGAATATTTGCCTGTGAGCCTGGGAGTGTACTCGGGTACCTCATTACACTGTTGTGCACAGCCCTAGTTTCTTTCATAGGCCACGACTTTGGAAAAGGTTCAAACATTAAAAGAGATTTTCAGTCCCTTTTACTATGATAGATTTATTTATTAATAGTTTTACAAATGAAGTAACTCTATCCTTCAGCGTCATTAATCTAATTTAAGTGCTCAGTTTTGACTAGATCGACTTGTTATCTGTGAAATATGTGAACATGGAGATTAGTTTTATCATTGCAGAGATGCCAACCGTTACGATTTTGCCGTATTTGTTACGGTTGTAATGCTCTTGTTACGGCGTTACGGTAAACAATCAAACGGTTACGGGGAAACGATAAACAAAAGTACATTATAGCGAATGCCGCCTTATACATAGCCTCCGTACACAGCGCTGCATGTCGCACGCAATTATATACAAACTCATAAGCTCACTGAGTTTGACTACACTGGATAGGCACTTTCGCGCACATGGTCCGTCCGCCGCCATCTTGTTTAATTCAGAAACAACACGGCCGCTACATATGCTACGTGCAGTCGTGCCTTTTGGGGGGAGCATGGGGGTAGATGATCGTGCGCGCGGTGCCCGCAATACCCATTCATAGTGCAGTAGCGAAGACTTAGGTGATTCAGCGGGCGCATTGCAAGTGCGGTATACAGTGTGTTGTTGTTCACAACCGCCAGGCCTAGCGCCCTGGGCTGGTGTGTCTGTGGTACTGGTGAGTGTACGTGTGCGTGTGTAGGATACGAGTTCTGCCATTTGACTGTGGATTCGAATTTGCTATTTGACGCTTGAACGAGGTGTTTTCTTCCTGAATATTATCATGGATTCACTCAAAAGGGCAAGTACCCAAGGAGGAGATCGTTTGACTGGAAATAGATTTTAAAAAAATGTTTTTGTGCACATCTTTATTTTGGACTTAAAAATGGTAGGTTCGAAATGCAGTAAGAGTGATTGGGTGTTTGTGTACGTTATTATGCTGCGGTGTCTTGCGTTACGGGAAGACCCCCATTTGTTACAGACAAATATGGTAAATCATGTTACTGACAGCCATATAGGGTTGGCATCTCTGATGTACTAGCGACCCTCATTTCATATTATGAATAGCGAACCTCTACTCTTATTATGAATAGCGAATCTCTACTCCTATTATGAATAGCGACCGTCATTTTGTATTATGAATAACGAACCTTTACTCCTATTATGAACACTGAACAGCGACCCTCTATTCCTGTTATGAATAGCCACCTTCCTTTAGTATTATGAATAGCGACACTTATTTTGTATTATGTTTTTGTGCACATCTTTATTTTGGACTTAAAAATGGTAGGTTCGAAATGCAGTAAGAGTGATTGGGTGTTTGTGTACGTTATTATGCTGCGGTGTCTTGCGTTACGGGAAGACCCCCATTTGTTACAGACAAATATGGTAAATCATGTTACTGACAGCCATATAGGGTTGGCATCTCTGATGTACTAGCGACCCTCATTTCATATTATGAATAGCGAACCTCTACTCTTATTATGAATAGCGAATCTCTACTCCTATTATGAATAGCGACCGTCATTTTGTATTATGAATAACGAACCTTTACTCCTATTATGAACACTGAACAGCGACCCTCTATTCCTGTTATGAATAGCCACCTTCCTTTAGTATTATGAATAGCGACACTTATTTTGTATTATGAATAGCGAACCTCTACTCCTATTATGAATATGAAATCTCTTTTCGTATTATGAGTAGTGACCCTATTTTGAATAGCAAACCTCTACTACTATTATGAATAGCGAATCTCTACTCCTATTATAAATACCGTATTTGCCGGCGTAAAGGCTGCAGTATTTTTAGAAGAGAAAATATGAAAAAGTCGGGGTGCGGCCTTTACGACGAAAGATTAAAAATTTAAAAAAAAAAAAAACGAAAGTCAAAACCAGCACTAATTTGAACGTGTGGGACTAGAAACCTTAAAATAACAATACCACTATGGTACAGGACATTTCCAAACATCTTACCGACAATTTTATCTTGCATTGTTGACATGAAGACGAAAATAAACGTCCTAACACAACATTTGCCGATAGATCTTGATCTAAGATCGTGCCAATGCATTGCAAAAGTAAAGGAAGGGACCGTCTAACGGAGCTGCCACCAACATCCATCCGAAGTCGCCATTTTGATTTTCCATTTCATGCAGTTTCACATTACACCGTAGATTGTGGTAGGGGTATATATCGGACACCAAATCTGCCTGCGATCACTTTTTTAGCTAAACTTCCGGTAAATTATAAGAATATGGATAATTTGGTATCAGTTTGTAAAAAAAAATTACGATTATTTTGTCTTGTCCGTTTGTTTTTTGTTTTTTCCTTTTTTTTCTTTCTTTTTTTCCTCTTTGAAATGTCAAAGTTGGGGTGCGGCCTATGCGGCGGTGCGGCCTTATCGCCAGCAAATACGGTAGCGACCCTCTACTCTTATTGTATCCCCCGGCAGTTTGTCGGTGGGGTACTTTGGATTCAGCAGCGTTACGCCGCCGCCGCGTCATATTATTTTATTCTTGTGTGCTCTCTAACTGCCACATTTCTTGACGGATTTCTTTCAAATTTTGTATGGAGGTGTAGCATGGTATAATCTCAACACCTATGACTTTTGGTGATGCTGCCCCCAGTGTTCCGTCTTCTATAGGGCAAAAGGCCATATTTTATTCTTGTGTGCGCTCTAACTGCCACATTTCTTGACAGATTTCTTTTAAATTTTGTATGGAGGTGTATCTTGGTATAATCTACACACCTATAACTTTTGGTGATGCTGCCCCCAGCGTTCCGTTTTCTATAGGTTAAAAGGCCTTTTTTTTATGCCTCCGCCACCGAAGGTGGTGCCGGAGGCATCATGTTTTCGGGTTGTCCGTCCGTACGTCCGTCCCGTTTGACCGTTATCACAATATCTCAAGAACCATTTAAGATTTAAAATTAAGACTCGGGAATAGTATTTATTACCATAGGAAGACGATCTGATTAGATTTTGGAGTACGTAGGTCAAAGGTCACAGGTCACAGAGGTCAACTTATGAAATTCCATACATTGAGATTGTTATCATAATATCTCAACAACCACTGGAGATTTAAACTTCAAATTTAATGATAGTGTGTATCACCATAGGAAGACAATCTGATTAGATTTTGGAGCACGTAGGTCAAAGGTCAAGGGTCACAGAGGTCAACTTATGAAATTCCATACATTGAGATCGTTATCGCGATATCTCAAGAACCACTGGAGAATTTTCACTTCAAACTTAATGATAGTATGTATCACCATATCATAATATCTCAAGAACCACAGGAGATTTAAACTTCAAACTTAATGATAGTGTGTATCACCATAGGAAGACAATCTGATTAGATTTTGGAGCACGTAGGTCAAAGGTCAAGGGTCACAGAGGTCAACTTATGAAATTCCATACATTGAGATTGTTATCATGATATCTCAAGAACCACTGGAGATTTAAACTCCAAACTTGTTTAAATTGCTCTATGGCGGAGGCATCATTTTCGACTGCGCGCAGTCAAAATTCCATCTAGTTTTCTTCATTTTTTTGTTGTTGACCTTTCACTGTACCATCTTCTTTGATTATTAAAACACGTAGATTCGCAAATAATGTAATAAACCCAATGGAAGATGACTTTTTTTCAAATCTGAATTCTACATTCCTGTCTTTTGCGAGCAATATCGCCGTTATTTCTGCTTGGATTTAGTTGATTTTTGACTATGTTGAAGCTGGGACTACATGCTATCTAAATCATTCCTCATTTTTTCAATTAGATATCAGGATCACGCTCATGATCATGATCATCATTATCATAAAGATGATAATCATTTATCAATTACATTTTCGCGCAGTCAAAATTCCATCTAGTTTTTGGATGGTTTGTGTGTGCTCTATAGGCCACATTTTTGAAGGGATTTTGTTCAAATTTTTAACAAAGATGTATCTTGGTATAATCTAAAAGCATATAGATTTTGGTGATGCTGCCTCTATTGTTCCGTCTTTTACAGGGTCAAAGGTCATATTTTGATAGATGTCTTTGTGGCACTCTAGTTTGCGGTCTAACTGCATCATTCCTTAACAAATTTCTTTCAAATTTTGTGTGAAGGTATATCTTTGTATAATCTACAGATCTACAACTTTTGGTGATGCTGCCCCCAGTTTTCCGTCTTGTATAGGGTCAAGAGTTCATATTTTTAGGTGGGTGTTTAGTTTGCGCTCTGCAGATCATATTTCATGATGGATTTCTTTCAAATTTTGTATAGAGAATTAGAAATGTATCTTGTTACCAATCGACACTTTAGGTGAAGCTGCCCTCATTGTTCCGTCTTTTATATGGTCAAAGGTCAAATATGTCTTTAATGCGCTCTAACTGCCACATTTCTTGATGGATTTCTTTCAAATGTTGTATGGAGGTGTGTCTTAGTACAATCATCTACACCTTTTTAGTGTTTGGTGATGCTGCCACCTGTGTTCCTTCTGTTATAGGGTCAAAGGTCATATTTTGGTGGCTGTCTTTTGTGCGCTCTAACTGCCACATTTCTTGACAGATTTCTTTCAAATTTTCTACAGAGATGCATTATACTCTAATCTACACACATTTTGTTTTGGTGATGCTGCTCCTAGTCTTGACAATAGTCTGAGCCACTAGTAGCGATCTCTACGTCATCCTTTTGTTTCAGGGAGGGGAGAGAGGGGATCTTTATCCCTCCTTCAAACATAAGGATGACACAAAATCGCTGCCACTGCCGGGGGATACATTTGCATTGTGCGGCAATTAGGGCTGTGCAAAACAGTGTAATGAGGTACCCAAGTACACTCCCAGGTTCACAGGCGAATACTCGAATATTCGGACGCCATGTTTTTTTATAATTTTTTTGAATTTTTTTGAATTTTTTTGATTTTTTTTTGAATTTTTGGATTTTTGGATTTTTTTGATTTTTTTGCCACTACCATACCACTCAGCAGTTTCTCAGGTCCCTCGCTGAAAACGCATGCAACTTTACTTTGAGTTGCAGTTGAAGGTGCCGATTTAATAAGAATAATAACAGTAAACAATGCTGTTTTAAAAACCAAAGATTGCAGAAAAATCCATTTTCCTCCAAGTCCAAACAGAAATCTGGACATTTGGTCCCAGTTTCTGAAAAGTGAGTTTGACAGTGCTTGAGTTGGGAAACATTTTTACCGACTGTACCATGCCAGCGGACGCCGCTCTCCCTGGCACGGGTAAGCGTGGGCCTGGACATTTTTTTTTTTTTTTTTTTTTTTTTTTTTAATTTTTTTTTTTTGCGGCCGAATATTCGGGTACAAGAAATCGTACCCGAGTAGTTGTCAACCGTGCGGGTACTCGAGCATTCGACTACCCGTCGCAGCCTTAGCGGCAATACAGATTGCGATATTTCTAGTTATGAATAGCGACCCTCATTTTGTATCATGAATAGCGACCCTCATTTTGTATTATAAATAGCAAACCTCTTCTCGTATTATGAATAGCGACCCTATACTCCTGTTATGAATAGCGAACCTATACTCTTATCATGAATAGTGACCCTTATGAATACAGGTAATGAACCTTATGAATAGAGACCCTCATTCCTCATTATGAATAGTGACCCTCATTTCATGTTATGAATAGCGACCCTCATTTCGTATTATGAATAGCGACCCTCTATTCCTATTATGAATAGCGACCCTCATTTTCGTATTATGAATAGCGACCCTCATTTTCGTATTATGAATAGCAACCCTTATTCCGTATTATGAATAGCGACCCTCTACTCCTATTATGAATAGCAACCCTCATTCCGTTTTATGAATAGCGAACCTCTACTCCTATTATGAATAACAAACCTATACTCCTGTTATGAATAGCGAACCTATACTCTTATCATGAATAGTGACCCTTATGAATACAGGTAATGAACCTTATGAATATTTTAGAGACCCTCATTCCTCATTATGAATAGTGACCCTCATTTCATGTTATGAATAGCGACCCTCATTTCGTATTATGAATAGCGACCCTCTATTCCTATTATGAATAGCAACCCTTATTCCGTATTATGAATAGCGACCCTCTACTCCTATTATGAATAGCAACCCTCGTTCCGTTTTATGAATAGCGAACCTCTACTCCTATTATGAATAACAAACCTATACTCCTATTATGAATAGCGAACCTCATTTCGTATTATGAATAGCGAATAGCGTATTACCAAACTAACCAGTACTAGGCGCAGAAGGGATATTTTAGCATAGATTAGGGAAGTTTTTTCTTTAAATGTTTTAAGGGACCATTTAAGTAGATATCAGTCATGTGTAAATTTTAAGCAACATGTCATAATCCACACTGAGATTATTGATACTGTGTGCACTATGCAGCTATATTACATTGTTATTATATTATTAGGTTAATACTTTAATTGTTGTATAATGCCAATTTGTTTCACATTGTTACTTTATATAAACATTCAAAACCCATTATACATTTGAATTTCACTATATATATCATAATACTTGACTATCCAGAATAATTTGTTTATTAGTTTCACATCATGTGCAGAAGACTGGAGCCCAAATGAATTAGCCTAATGTCTATTTTTTTGCATTTTCCTTTTATTAATTCAGGGAGAGCTAGAAGATTGTAAGACAACCATCATGGCCAGTAGCTATTTGACCTTGCGTGTCCTTTCAAGACAGATGCCTTTCTTTGGGAAGCTGCAGAGATGTGTCCTCTCTTCTTGGTCATCAAATTACCGCACAGCTGTTTCTGCAAGTCACTTTCATCATTCTACAAAGGGAAAACTACACACTGCTGATAATATTTTAGAGATCACATGCGTGTTAAGAAAAAGTAGGATGTTTGCCACATGTAGTACAAGTTATCCACTTTTTATGGACAGAAGAATTTTATCCATGTTCCACAAAGTTGGGAAACTAAAATGTGGACGGGCTATTGCACAACCAGCACCTTTTGCCTCACATTTCAGTAGCACCAGTGCAAGCTACAGTGACACTGAACCTGCAGTTATTACTTTGATAGAAACTGAAGATGACTTGGAAACATTTCTCAGCCAAGTTAGGTCTGTACTGAACTTAGCAGAACCTTCAAAAACATATGTATTGTCCGTGCAGAATCTCAGACCCCTTGTTCAAAAGCTGGTCCATCTGGATTGTGATTGTAGAAGCATTCTTGCAATGCTAGTAGCTAATCCTGGTATCCTGTCTGTGAAGATGGACAAACTACTTAGTAACATCGACCACCTTCACTTGTTGGGATTGAACTGGAGACGGTTGATGAAGGCCCTTGATGGAAATGCATCTCTGTGGAAGGCATCACTTCAGCAGCTACAGAGCAGGGTCAAGCAGCTGAGGAAGCTAGGCTTTGTGGAAGGACAACTGCAGAAGTTGATTGCAGATTGGCCACAGATACTGACTATATGTAGTGCTCAGTTGAATGCAGTTGTTAAGTTGCTGATGGAGAAGTGCAGATTCCCCAGAGCAGAAGTCTTGACCATATTATCTGACAGTCCAGCAATCCTGAAAGAAGACCTGGAGAGTATCGGTATGTATATCAATATACAAATTCTCAGGTTTCATTGCAATGTAGTTGAATCCAAACCTATCTTATATGCATTACCAGCTTAGGCAAAGGCCCACTTATTTAATGAGACTACACATTGTCCTTCTCCTCCCCCTCTCTGTCAGCAAGAACATCTAACAAATGGCACAAACTGTCTGTTACCGAGCCCCATCTGCAACAGAATGAAGAAAGGCATAGAGTTCCAAACTAAATTTATATTGAATGTGGGAAAATGGAAAAAGTAAGTTCAGTGAATTTGAATTTAAAGGAATGGTGGTGCTTATTTTACCTGACTGCTAAGGAAGCATAAATGCTTGTAAGTAAGCAACCAGACGGCTGATGGCTTTAGGTCCTCTCCAAGGGACCTGGTAATGAGCATTTATTCCTTACCAAAGGGCATTAGCGCATCGCCTTGTAAATTTATTTATAATTGTTTTTTTATGCCTCCATTACGAAGTAGCCGGAGGCATTATGTTTTTGGGTTGTCCGTCCGTCTGTACGTCCTGTTCTCGTGAACGCGTTATCTCAAGAACCGATGAATGGATTCCTGCCAAACTTAACCCTATCTAGCCCAGGGGGGGGGGGGGGCCCCTCGACATTTTTCGTGATAATTTTTTAACGCAAGATAATCTTGCACTGAAATTTTGTGACTTTTTTCTTTTGAGTCTTGCGCATCTTTTGAAAGAAATTTTTCGAAAATCGGACCTACCATTACAAGGTCACGTGTCCTTTTGTCTTTGCATGTCAGCCCGAAAATCGCTCTTTTTTGTGTTTCGTGTACAAAACATATGGAAATCTCATTTTTCAAATAAAGAGATAAAACATTGGTTATTTGGTCTTGTTTATAGTTTAGGTGTTTATTTTGGGGTCAAAATAGTTGAATTATAGTTGGAAATGAAGTAAAACAACAAAAACAATAAAATACATAAGTTAAAAAAACAAAGAAATTATCAAAACAATAGATAACATAAGGAATAACCCTGGTTTTTCAATTTTTTGTGTTTTATTATTATTCCAAATGGTCTAACAAATATATGTAGTGAGAAAGAATGCTTAAATATGAATAATGTCTGATTTATGGGCAAAATTTTATGACCCTATTTGCATAAATTACCATAAATATGCAAATGAGTGAATTTTTCAAAAAATCGAAATCACCATAGTATTCTATACACTTCACTTGGCATGTATGCAAATTTTCGCGGCGATCGGGCTAGTTAGTTAGGTTAGGTTAAAGGTAATACAAAGTTTTCGGAATATTTCATCAGGATTGGATCATGAAATTTAAAATTTGCATTACTATTGTGAAGCATAGTATTAGAACACCTAACTCTAAAAAAATTGGGCTCTAAAAAGCTTTTGATTTGGAGTAATTAAAATTTTAAAAAATAAAAAAATTTACCGGTACTCCCGGTAAATTTGGTATAGTTCCCTCTCAGTTAAAAAATTTACATGTAATCTGAACAGCATAACACATATATAGCACTATTGTCAAAGTGTAATAATTAACATGTTTTGACACCAAATCATATTACCAGACTTAAACAATATATATAATCATGAAGATAATTATTTTAAAGTCGAGTTGCCTTAGTGTAAGATTTTTATACTGTCTCTTAAATTTGAAGAAAAAAAACACTTGTCTGTACACTGTAATCGCAATATATAATTTTATAATCGATCAGACCGCCGCCATCTTTACTGTACTTACGTACATTAATCTATGTATTTCCTTCGCTGGCCGGAATATCCTGTGTTGTTCTCTTCAACTCATTTTTCCATATCCCTCTCTTAATCGTTTCTGTGTTTTCAACTGTGAAATGCATTTGTTATTGCTCGACTTTGATAATATTGTTGTTCGCCAGCTCTGTGAACGAACGCACATATTGCCTGTATTTTTGTCAAGTCAAGTGGTCGTGATGAACTGCAATGATCTGGCATTGATCCCAGTGCATGTACTTAGGCCTACGTATAGTACATGTTACGTGTGTACGTGTATTAGTCTAAGTGCGTTGGGCGGGATTGGCCCGAAGAATTTCCGAGCACATTTTTTTTAGGGATGATCTCAAAATACTCCCCAAAGTCGTTGTACAGGGACAGTTTGGGTAATCACTTATAGACAGAACGTAACATTGTTTATTTTGCATTTCTTTATTAAAAATAAAGAAGATACGTTTAATCTTATAAACAAAGATTAATCAATAATAAGGTTGACTTGACGTTTTCCCGAACAGTCGATCATGTGTATACTGCACATTCTTATTTTGAGATCATCCCTTTGTAAGTTTACGGGTACGGTACGCTTGTTTATTTAGCCAAATGACCTCTGGTAGAGGTCAGTAATTGCTACACGTGTTTGGGCTAATCTCTCCTTTTCCGTACAATTGAATTATATCCTTCGCCTCCGTCTCATAACCATGCACCAACTCCCGGGAGAGAGAGAAGTTCTCATTCACTCGATAGGATAGTAGTTTTTGGTTGGAGTTTATGACAAGAATAATAATAATCACAAAAACGATAGAAGTCCCTATTCGCGTGATAGAACCATATTTCTTTTGTCGGGGTTATGTAAATGAGGGTGATATAAATATATGACAACAATAATAATAATCACAAAAACGATAGAAGTCCTCGTTCGCGTGATAGGACCATATTTCTTTTGTCGGGGTTATGTAAATGATGGTGATATAATTATGACAAAAATAATAATTATCACAAAAGCAAGAGAAGTTCTCATTCACTCGATAGGATAGTAGTTTTTGGTTGGAGTTTATGACAAGAATAATAATAATCATGAAGACAACTTCTATAGAAGTTCTCATTCGCGTGATAGGACCATATTTTTTGGTTGCGGTTCATGTAAATGAGTATGATGATATATGTTTGGCAAGGATAATAATAATCGTAAAAACGATAGAAGTTCTCATTCACGCGATAGGACCATCAGGGAATAATTTTCCTGGTATCGCATCGCAATTTGCTATGCATTTTTGCATGACTGCTATACAAAATATCTTTTGTGTAGCAGTTTTCTTCCATAGAAATGTACAGAATTTCATTTGAAATATTTATCCATCAGCTGAAATTGCTAATCAAAAAATTTGAGGAAAATTATTCCCTGGACCATTGTTGGGGTGTATGTAAATGAGGATGATATAAATTTATGACAAAGATAATAATAATCACAAAGACGATAGACGTTTTCATTCACGTGATAGGACCATAGTTTTTTGATGGGGTTATAATGTAGATGAGGATGAAAGAAAATAATAATCATAAAAACAAGTCAAACATTCAGTGCAGAGGTTAGCACAGGCGAAGAGAGGGAGATCGAGAGGGTGCGAGAGGAAGGGAAAGAGGGAACAAGAGAGAGAGAGAGTGACAGAGAGAGCCTGGGTCTGTATTTCGGAGAGAGAGAGGGTCCATGTGGTGAAAATGATTATTTTCGAAACTTTCAAGGGTATGATGAACATTACAACAAACTTCTGTATGAAAGAGAGAGAGAGAGAGAGAGAGAGGGGGGGGGGGGGACAGAGAGAGAGAGAGCGGTATCTGGATAGACATACTGTATTATTGTATTTCTTTCATGTTTATCTGAACGATTATGTGGTCATTCATTTTCAAATTGCTTTCTTTCTGATATTCTTTTCTGAATGCATTTCACGGACATAATAGTTGGAAAAAATGATAAGACTTCATGTATCCCGTAGGCGTACTTGAAAGTGTTTGTTAATGTATATCAAAAAGACTGATCAGTCGAAGCTGAGACTAGATTGAGACGGTTGCGAAGGAGGGTTTAAGGGTACGTCAAACCATAGGTTTATGGTCAAACTCACTCTGCAAGGAGATTACAACTCCCTTGATTTGTGCGATACAATCGTGAACGGTACTTGCTCTCACACAAACGCACACAGATGCTGGTACCATTGAGCTGTAAAAGAGACCATGGACCTTAGCCATGCGAATGCAGACGCTTTCCCGCTGTTGAGCGGGGTCAGCGCGGTGTCGAAATTGCAGTTGTCTTTTGTCCATGCGGCTTGCGCCGAGCGGGGCGAACGTAACACATTTTCATTATCGATTATACCATGAACCATTTACAACAATAGATGGCGCTAGTATACAACAACATGAGCTGGTTTAAATACAGGCAGCTTGGAACTAATAATTGATTTATTAATCACTGTTTAATTCACTAAAAAAAAAAAAAGTATTTCAGCAGGGAAGATTGGTTAAAGATATTCCTTGTTATAACATCAAAGAGTTTCAGATGAATTAAATATTTTTACCAACACTTTGTAATACCTTTAAGTTTTTGAATTTTTGATATAATTTTGAAAGCATAAATCCTTAGTCAATCAATTTTTGTTATTTGTTCATGATTCTTAATCAATATTCACTTCAAAATGCTGATTATATTCAGAGGATGAACTGAGTAGATTTTGGGGTCATGAGGCTCATGAATGCCTTCCTATTACTGGAAGAATGGATTACTATCAATCTTGGGACATGTATGTATCTTGCAGAGCCATCGAACAGATTAGATTTTAGGGTCATAAGATCAAAGACCAAAGGGTCATACATGTATATAAAAAATAGCTTGTAATAATGATATTATGTGAAGCTGTTAATGGATTACAATTAAACTTGAATTTGAAAAATTGCTCTATGGCGGAGGCATCATTTTCGACTGCGCGCAGTCGAACAACCATCTAGTTTTTGTCTCGCCTGCGTGGAAAAAAGCGAGACATAGGCACCGCTTTTCCAGTGACGGTGACGGCGGCGTCAAAAAAAAAAAAAATTAGGTTACGTTTTTGAATTTTTGATATAATTTTGAAAGCATAAGTCCTTAGTCAATCAATTTTTGTTATTTGTTCATGATTCTTAATCAATTATTCACTTCAAAGTGCTGATTTTATCAGAGGATTTTATCAGAGGATTTCATTTTTTGGGGCCTGCTAATGGGCCACCCTGCCTATAAATAA